ATATATAATTTCTAATGATAGTAAATTATTTTGGAAATTTAATTTTATTAATGAATAAAATATTCAAACCAACGTATTTTTCATTTTACACTCCGAATTATTTGAGATTTATATTTTGGATTAGATAAATAAATACTATAAACAAAATGTAATAATGTATATTTCAATAATTAAAATATAGATGATGGTAATACAAAATTATTATTATTATAATTTAAAGAAAATACAAAATTATTATTAATTATATTATAAATTATAAATTATTTGTTCACAACTAAGTAATAATATTTTTATCCTCCTCTTTTCTATTTCACGGGAGAGGTGGGGGGGGGGAATGCCCCCTAAAATGTGTCCGGGCTTGACCACTGGTGACCGTACTGCCCAGGCGGAAAACATCGGCGGCCGCCGATGCGTGCCCACCCAGCAAGATGGCTCCTCTACGGGGCGACACTCGGTGTTTGACGTGAAGTTATTTACACACCTGGGATCTCGCGCCGCTTTCGGGAGTCTCGGCGAGACGTGCACAACCGTGTCGCTGCGTCGATGCGTCGCGGTGCCGCGCGTGCCTAGTGGTAGCGACGTTTCGTGGTCGCGTCAACGGTGGAAGTAACGTCACGTCGCAACGTCAAACTCCGTGTCGTGCCGCGCTGCGCCGAGTCGTGCTGAGCCGGACGATATACAGTCGCCAAGGAGTGAGATCGTCCTCAGGATCCCGGCGACGACGATAACTACAACGACGACGAGTGCGACCACGCGCCTATACGGCCGGGTTCCGTTGACGGTGGATCGAGTAGCGCTCCCCCCCCCCCCTCCGCTCTCCGAGGAGACAGCCCTTGTGCGCTTCTCCCTTATTACTCAGGTAGCCCTCATCGTGTCCTCACTTCGTCATGTTTTGCATCCTGTGAAACGCATCGATGACGACGACGACGACGACGGAGACGGCGAGTGTCTCCTTACATTTTCTACCTTGTCGCTTCCCTTCCCCTTTCCGAATGATGTCCTCGGGGGAGAGACGGTAACTTCGTCATCGTCGTCGTCAGTTGTATATCGATCTGAAACTTGTCATTGAGACGCGGTAGGCGAGAATCGTCGGTTGGAACTGCGAGATCTCGCGGATAGAGGGTTTGTTCGTTTCCATTCGCACCCTCCTACACACTCGGAGTCTCCCAGTCTCCCTTGCTACCCCGAAGTCGGATTACTGGTATCCGTGGAGATGCGCAACCGACGTCCTCTTGTCTTTCATCTCCTCCCCCTCCCCCTCCTTTTCCTTCTGACGCTGGGATCGCGCGCTTCTCTTCACGTGGGACGCAAAAAAAGCGGTTTTTCTAATGCAGTTTAATTTAATCTTGGTCCAATTAATTTTTCATCTTTTTCTAATTCTAAGAATTAGGGGTTAAGTTGGACTGATGAAAGAGGTGAGATTAAAGTTAATCTACATTGACAGAAACGGACACAACGCGATTTAAAGAGAAAGAACCTGCCAGATCACGCACGGAACTTTCGCACGCTTTCATCAGAGATGTCTTTCTTTAGTTGCACTTTCCATCTCAGTTTTTGCTCTCTCCCTCTCTTCCTCTTTTCCGAGTGCCGAGAGAGAGAGTCTACTTGTCCCATTTCAAAATGCGTGTAACGTGATACATTGATGTCCATTTCTACCAACAATAGATTGACTTTTAATTTCAGTTTGATTTATCCTTTTTCTAATTTTTTTAAAGTCTAATTTAGTTAAAGAAAGAGGTGAAAAAAGTGAGTTAAACCGAGATTAAAAGGTTTGATAAAACATGGGACGAGGAAATCTATTAGATTTGTTCCTAATTGCACTCTCTGCACCCTGCTCGTTTTCTCTCTCGCTTCCACTAGACATCGAATGTACGTCAACTTCATACTCCAAATCTGCGAAGAGTGTGAGAAAAAGTACAGGTAGAACGAGAGCCGGCTAACGCACGCGGACGTATTCCGCAATTACGGAAAAACGAAGTTCGTACTTCGACGTGACGAGTAAAGAACGGAACGTGGTAATCCGCTGTAATCCAGAAGGGAACAGAACATCGAAAATATTTCGCGTGCTGTGTTTGATTCCTCGAAAGTGAAAATCGTAAAGAGTTTCGTCGATTGCGGTTTACTTGTTGCTATTGATTGAAAAAGATTTGATTTATTCTTATATTATAGATGACATCCGGTTTTCTTACAATTGTATTGTCGATGCTTATTGATGTAATTAGCATGAAACTGAGCTATTGTGAATAGCTCTTTCAGCGTAATGTATGATTCATAGATGTATTTTAAGAGGTACATTACGGCGGAGACGGTATACTAAAGTAGTTGTTACAGATTATGAAAGATAATTGATAAGAAAACTTTCTAAACTGTGCACAAATCTGAGACAGTGTGCTAAAATAATTGTTTTAAATTAGAAAAGGGTATTTAATAAGTGAACTCTTTAAATTTGTGTACGTAAAACTTAAGATTTTATACTAAAGTAGTTATTACAGATTATGAAAGATAATTGATAAAACAATTCTAAATTTAAACATAAATTTGAGATGATGTACTAAATTAATTGCTACAGATTAGGGAATTGATAAGTGAACTCTTTAAATTTGTACATAAAACTTAAGATTTAATACTAAAATAATTAGTAATTACTAGATTATATGAGGACTATTGAGACTGCAAAGCTCGTTTCATTAGTGTGAATTAGAAAAAGATGAAGAATTATTTGGATCGAGATTAAAATTAAACTGCATTGGTAAAAATGACCATAAAAGAGCTTTCTAAATTCATAAATTTTAGACAAAGTATTAAAGTAAATTGCTGAAAATTATTATGAGAATCATAGAAATGATTGACAAGAGAACTTTCTAAATTTATGCATACATCTAAAAAATGTACGAAAGTTGTTACAGATTATAAAAGCTAATTCGTAAAGTACTTTCTAGATGTGTATATAAATATGATGTATTAAAATAATTGCTACGTATTATGAAAGACGATTGACAAGAGAATCTCTCTAAATTTATGTAACCTGGGATTTTACACTAAAGTAATTGCAAATTAAATAAAACTGTTTATAAGAGAGCTCTCTAAATTTGTAATAAGAAAATTTTCTAAAGTTATGACTCTAAATTGTAAATGTCAAACGATGTATGAGTAATTAATGCGAATTTGGAAAGATTTACAAGAGAACTCTTTAAATGTATGCGTGAGTAAACGATGTATTAAAGTAGTTGTTGGAGATTATGAAGGATAATTGATAAAGAAACTTTCTAAATTTGTACGTAATCTGAGACTGTACTAAAATAGCTGCTAGAGATTATGAAAGATGATTGATAAAGAAACTCTCTAAATGTATGCATAGGTCTGAAACTATGTATTAAAGTCGTTACAGATTATGAAGATATGAAGGACAATTGATACAGAAACTTTCTAAATTTATGCGTAAATCTGAAACTGTGTTTACTACACATTAAATAAAATTGTTGACAAGAGAGATAGAATAGTTGCTATAGATTATGAAAGAGGATTGATAGAGAAACTTTCTCTTATACGTAAATTTGAAACGATGTCTAAAGTTGTTATAGATTATGAAAAATAATTGAAAATTTTTAAAAATTATGTGTAAATCTGAGACTATTAAAATAGTTGCTATAGATATAAAGGACAATTGATATGAGAATTCTCTAAATGTGTACGTTTTCTCTCATTTTTTTTTTCAGATACACAGTGCCATTCCAAAGAACCATTGCTCACAGCTGTGCTAAATTATAAACGCTATGCTTAACGATAGATAGTGTTTAAGGGTTTTTAAGCTCTGTGTTATTTATATTTAATAACGTACCACTATTAATTGCGTTTCTCTACCGTAAAAGCTTTACGATAGAGTACAGATAATCATACGAAGAAATCCGGAGGGAATCAATCGCGCGTAGATGTTTGTACAAAACCCAAGATTTATCTTTGCGAGTAAGCGAATTGTGATTCAAATCGTTTAGAGATGTTACCAAAGGGAAATTGAACCAATTTTCTACGCAAAGCTCTAGATTTGAAGGGTAGAATATGACCAAAGGTATAAAGACAAATTTGTATTGGTAGCAAACTTTTTCAGTGACATTTCGCTATGTCTTGAGCAACTCTATTTAAAAAGAAGGAAAAAGTTTATTTTGACATTTGCTACGAGCGATATCATCGCGTGCTAAACATGGCGAGAAAAAGTGACACTGCAAAGAGCATTAACGTCGCGGTGGTCGGGCTCTCCGGCACGGAGAAGGACAAGGGACAGGTCGGCGTCGGCAAATCGTGTCTATGTAATCGCTTTATGCGTTCCATGAGCGATGACTACAACGTTGAGCATATTTCAGTGTTGTCGCAGGTATTTATATCTATATATCTATACATCGCATGTCGTAATTGATTACGGAGAGGATTTTAAATAGAAGAAATTATCAACACATTACACATTACAAATATATGAATTTTTCTGAATTAGCTCTGTACAGATTTGCAAAATTTTTTTATATAGTTAAAATATAGAACAATCAATTGTTTAGTGTGTATTTTAGTTAAAAAAAAAGTATGTATTTTAGTAAAAAGATTTACAATTCTATTCACTAATCAATTTAGAGAAATTTATATATCTGCAATATATCGATAATTCCTTTAGTTTAAGGTGCTTACATTTCGATCAA